AAGGAGGAAGGAGGAAGAAAGGAAGGAAGGAAGGAAGGAAGGAAGGAAGGAAGGAAGGAAGGAAGGAAGGAAGGAAGGAAGGAAGGAAGGAAGCCATGAAATATAACAACAGGAGCCAATCTGAAGAGGCTACATCACCTACAGAAGTAAAACAGACAGAAAAGGCCAGCGGTGCCTGTCCCCTGTACCTGAGACGCTAAGACAGAAAGTTCAAGGCCAGTTTGGGTAACACAGTGAGACCCTGTCTGAAGAGAAGGAAAAAGGGTCGGGGGCCGCCAGGCACCAAGGAAGGGAGGGGACTAGGTGGAGCACAAAATACTTTCAAGGCAATGAAAATCAGCTCCACGACACCACAATGGGGATGTGTCCTAACTGTTAGGCCAAGTGCCAGGGTGTACACCATCAGGAGGAAACCTAAGCCAGGCTTGGTGCACGCCTTTAATCCCAGCACCTGGGAGGCAGAGGCAGGGGGATCTCTGTGAGTTCGAGGCCAGCTTGGCCAACAGACTGTATCTAGTTTGAGGACAGTCAGGATTACACAGAGAAAAGACTGTTTGAAAAACAAAACAACAACAAAAAAAAAGAAATGTAAAGTACAGACTCTAGGTGATGAATGATGATGTGTTACTGCAGATTAGTTAATTATAAGGTGCTAATTATCCCTTACCCTGGTGAAGACACCAAGGATGTGTGCACCTTTTAATTCTGCTGTGAACTAATGCTCATTAATTTAAAATGTTAGGTATCAGCTGCCTTTCACCACAAAGCAATTCACATATATTTGCTGATTTTGAATACTGTGAGACTAAACTTTATTTTCTCACTGTGAAAATGTACTTAGCTATCAGGGCAGTGAACAATCACACCAAAATGTAAAACACACTTTATAATCCTTAAGGACACTCACTTTTTAGGGAACGCTGGTAGGAACGCACGATATGAACTGCTTCCTCCATCTTAGTCTGAGAGGCTTTTATACACCGCACCAAACAAACCAACCAACCTAGGAAATTACAGCTGGGAGACACGGGCCCCTCTCTCAAACCAATCACAATGACTAACCCACCTGCAGCCTCAAGGCTGCCACTGACCACCTGTGGGCCACATGCAGTCCATGAATGGAGCCAAACATAAAACAGTGAACATTGTGAGATGTTTAAAAAATGTGTGATAACTGGAGTGCATGCATTTGTGGGCAGCAACACTGTGCTGCAATGTGAAAACGTTGGCTGTGTCCAGTACACCAAGCAGTGTCAATCAATTCCGCCTCCTCTTCCGTCACAGGAAGTCCCAGTCTTGTACACCGTGCTTCACTGAACGCTCACATACCATCGCTCTTCCCGTCCTGCTGTGGGTATGAGTTGTAGAACATCCCCTTCCCATCGTGGGTCCAGGCCATGCAGGTGAACTTGACTCTCTCCAGCACATCGGGAAGCTCCTTGGCACCATCGACTTTCATGAACTTGATCGTCACCCAGTCTGAGCCACTGGCACTCAGCCCATAGGCAAAATATTCACCGTCTTCACTGAAGGCATAACCTATGGGGCACAGGAGACAGTCACATGTGGCACACCACTCTTCATCTCGCTCACTGTCGTCACCCACTGTCAACGCTGCCTGAAACAGCAGGGAGACCAACCGTGGCAAAGGAGGAAACAGGGAGTTAGTAGTGAGCCAACCTGGGCTCAGCTGAGGTTTCGAAGGAATTACAATTATAATGACATGGTCCCTTAACCTCCTTAGGTCATACTTTCTTCCTTGACAGAATGAAGCCTTGGATTATATGGCCATTAAGATGCTCTCATTCTGAAATGTTTATAATTCAATGGGTAGCTCGGTTAAAAGCAGAGCTCCCCTGGGACACGCAGCATATTTTATTCATACTCTAAAGGGAGTAAGTAGGGGAAATCTGCTTTTATAGTAATGACTGAATTATGATACATAGCATGTAATAGAATTAAACTGTAGCCATTAAGTAACTTTTGGGATGAACTCCAAAGCATTTGAGATCACTCCTTATAGCCTCATTTTCGGGGCATTACTGGCACTCAAAGATTAATATCCACACCATGACATCACAGGCCCAGGTAAAGACAGCCTGAGGGTTTGCAAGGAAGGATCCTGGTGTGCACATTCCAAAAGAAACAAAACGCACCCGTCTGCAGATTCCCATGTCATGGCCAAGTCCTTGGGGACCCAACAATGCTCCCATCCTGTGAGAGTTTCTTGATAAACAGTCATGTTTTATGTTGGTTGTTATAGTTATGTTATCAAGCTATCCTAGTAGAGTAAGATTCAGATACCAGTGATTTCCTGGGAAGCGTGCTAAATTCTATGGGGGATCTAAAATTTATAGGAGGCTCAATTATTACCATGCAACTTCAATTAGTAGGAAATTACTTTAAAATCTGCTACCATGCTTATTGAAATTTTTCAGGAAAAAATTTAAAAAAGCATTATTTTGATTAAAAGTATATGTAAGGAATCATATGCCAGGTCTCAGGCTTAATTCACCTTGTTTTCAGTGGACACCTAAAGAAATCAACACACCGTATCACTGGGGTAAATGGTATTAGGACACAACCCTCCTGGATGGGATGCAAGACAGACCTTGGTGAAAACTACATGGACTCTTATACAGGACACATGACTACCTTGGAACCATAGCATTAAATTAATTCTAAAGCACAGGCTAACTCATGGAAATACTAATATACTCTTATCAAGATAGCTGGTACCTGACTTCCAAAACACTTACACACTGAGCCTATTTGGGAGTGGAGAAGAGGACCATCAAGTATCTGAGGCACAGCTAGAAATGGCTGCATAAAGGTCTTTGTATGGATCCATTGAAATGGATCTGTCATTCCCCTCCTACTGAGTAGCAGACATCACTGTTCTAACTCATAGTTCTAGAGAGCCAAAATGCGCTGTGCTTTATTTAGCACAGACCAACGGACAGTACAGGAGAGAGGCTGAGCCCCTTCATTAGGAACACGTTAAGAGATAATTTAACCATGTAATTACTAAACCACAGAACTGGAGAATAACCTCACCCTAAAACTTCACTCATAGCACAACCGAGGCTTATCTTCTCAATGGCCTGCGGAGGCTACACTGGAAGCAGAGTTAATGCAGAGGAGCACCGAGGATGCACTTAGGCCATATGGCAGCATCTTCAGGTCAGGGTACCAGGTGATTCAATTCCACGAGACTGAGAGTTTTTGCTTTTAATTCTAACAAACTGTTGACTGCCTAGGTTTTAATACTCTGATCAGTCTGCCCCATTTACAGCTGGAGCACTCCTTGCACAGCTGAAGTTTCCTGCAAGAGGGCTTAAGTGGTGGTAGTCAGATGCGTCTCAGATGTGATGGGATGTTATGACACTTCAACATCCCAGAAGTCAATTTGGGTCTAGTGTGACTTATTCCCCAGTTCTGTTTCATGCCATCAGAGTGAGAAAGATGAGTGTGACTATGCATGCATTCTAAAGATAGTGTGCAAAGTTAGCTTTCCTAATACTGTGTGTGCATCTGTTCTACAATATGGTCCACACCCTGCTCGGAATCTCAAGACTTCAGCGCTCCCAGGCCTCACGAGGGCCCGGCGTGCAGCACTTACCTCGGAGAGCTACTGTGCCGTCATCCGACAGGGTGTTGGGGTCGAGGAACACCCTGGCTTCCCCCTCTAGGGAGTCTTGCACATACAGTACACGCTGGTTCTGCAAACCTGTATTGTAAAAATAAAAATACCTGGGGACAGAAATTCCCTATATTTAGCTGTGGTATTTTCTATTTGTGGAGAAGAATCAAACACACGAAGAAGCAAATTTCACAAGACCACACACAGAAAGGAACAGCTGCAACCAAGAAAAACCTGCCATCAGCAGGGACAGGAGGAGGAGATGGAAGTCCCTCCGGCATCCCACTTGACAGTGTGTTACTTGAACTGCTTTCTTTCTGTGTGCAAATAATTTATTGTACTTTGGTATGTCAGCCAAAGACAAATAAAGACCAATTTGCCAAAAATAACACTGACAGTTAAATAAAGCAGGGACTATTGCTTCTAAATGGGGAAGAAAGCAGACTTTCTACTGTAAAGTTCTGGTCTGCTTCCACAGCCTGGCTGGCTGCCAGTGCGAAGGTCATCGCGCTTCTGCAGAGAGGAGCGTGTGCATTCAGGCTCCGTGGGCCACGAAGTCACCACGTTTACCAAACAGCCAAGCAAACGGCAGGACTGTGCTCCAGTTAGACTTAGGAAAACAGGTGGTAGGCAGGGTTTGGCACACTGACCCTACTTTGCTGGTATCTGTGTGAGGTGGGGAGGGCCTGAGAAATTCCAGAGTAAACGTGTGATGGTGTGATTATTATCAAGTGGATTCGAAAAAGAGATGAACAGGAGGGCTAAATTCATAGGCTCCACTTTCCGGCCCATTCTTGGAGAGAAAAAAGTGCACATAATAAAATGTTCTCAAGTACCGCAAGCCAAAGATACTATAGGAAACAAATCTACCCCGTCGCTTATGAATCACAGGCTCACCAACTAACCACGGGAATGAAGAGGCCCCATAATCCACTTTCACAGGCCGCATCACTGCCAAACGTCGTAACTGCTATTTTATAAATATGAACAGCACTTAGCAGTACGAAGATTACTCTCATGCTCAAACACAACAATTGCTTCCTTTTATAAACTGGTAAGCTAGTTCAATGTGTACTTCATTGTTTGAGACACGGTCTCACTCTGTAGCCATGCCTGGCCTGGAACTCACAGAGATCCACTGGCCTGTCTCCCAAGCGCTGGGATTAAAGGTGTGAGCCACCACACCTGACCTGTACTTGGCCCTTTAAGTACTCGGGAGCCTTAGGGACAGGTCAGCAGGTAAAGCGCTTACTGCATGAAGACCTGGGCTGGAATCAACACTGACATAAAATTCTAGGCACCGTGGTTCATGTCATAACCCAGCACCGTATGCTCCAGGTTCTGGGAGGGGCCCTGTCTCCAAAAGTAGGGTAGAAGCAGGGAATTGTGGTGCACGCCTTTACTCCCAGCACTCAGGATGCAGAGGCAGACAGTTCTCTGTGAGTTTTGTCAACACAGTGAATTCCAGGACAGTCAGAGCTATGTAGAGAGACCCTGTCTTGATGGGGGGGGAGTAGGGGGAGAGAAGAAGAAGGGTGAAAAGCAATAGAGGAAGAAACCTAATGTCAATCTCTGGTGTATGCACACCCCCCCACACACCAATGTATACACATATAACACACACACAAACACACACCAATGTATACACATATAACACACACACACAAATGTATACACATATAACACACACACACAAATGTATACACATATAACACACACACACACACACACACACACTTTTTAAAAAGGAAACATCAAGCTGGAGAGCACAAAGAAAGCGAGCGTAGGCAAGCTCACACACCGCTTTCCCTTCTTGAAGTGGCAGCTGTACTTGGGGTAGTCGTACAGCTCAGTCATCCTCTCCTTGTACAAGCCTCTGATCGGACACTGCTCGAGAAACGGCACTGTGATCTTGTTCTGGGCCTCCACGAAAGCCTGCAGTGAACAAAAAGGACAAAAGGCGTATGTCAGCAGAAGCACAGCTATGAAGGTGTGATGGCTATGCCTATAACTCAGTCAGGAGGCTGAGGCAGGAGGACCAGTGACGAGAGAGAGAGAGAGAGAGAGAGAGAGAGAGAGAGAGAGAGAGAGAGAGAG